GGGAAGGAAGGAGGAAAGGAGGGAAAGATGGAAGGAAGCAGGGAAGGAAAGAAGAAAGGAAAGAGAGAGGGAGGGAAGGAAGGAGGGAGGGAGGAAAGGAGGGAGAGAAGGAAAAAGAGAAGAAAGGAATGAAAGAAGGAGGGAAGGAAAGAAGGAAAGAGGGAAGGAAGGAAGAAGAGAAGTAAGGTTGTATTAATAATCCCATTTTATAGTTGAGGAAACCAAGGCAAACAGAGGTTGAATGACTTGCCCAGAGTCACATAGCTACATGGCTAAAGTTCCTGGTTCCATCATTCCAATGAACATAGCATGTGCAAGAGCACTTTTTTTATTCATTCATTCATTCATTTACTCATTCATTCATTCATTCATTTTGGCCTAAACCCAAGGATCTGTGATTTCATCAGCATAAGGAACTTTTGTTGTAGGAACTACCTCTCAAATGGGCACCACCCAATAACTTATAGTCTAAGAGCATTGCCTGGAGACTTTAGGAGGTTTAGTGACTGACTCAAAGTCACAGAGCTTATATAGGACTTGAATCCAGTCTTTTTGACCCTCTATCCCTTATGCCATCCTGCCTCAAAGAATACAAACCCAGATATTTCTAAAGAGCCTATCCATTAGCAAGTCTTTATTGGGCACCTCCTATGGATCTAATCCTGCCATTTGTTTTTGGTGGAGGAGGTAGAAGCTTATCTTGCCCTCCAGGAATTCACATTTTAGCTGAGGAGACCTACCAGAAACAGAATAGATCCAGACAACGAGTAAATAATTTCCTTTAACTTAAATTAAGTGATAGGACTTCAGGCAATGTAGGAGTTCAATTAAATGAAATTTAATTATCATTTAAATGATGGGATAGGCAGTATTATTAGCATTGTCATTCATACATGAACAGGAAGAAGTATATTCCAAAACAACAGAATCTCAGAGCTGGAAGTACCTTTAGAACACAGAAAATCAGAGATAGGAAGGACTCTTAGAATATAGAATATTAGAGCTAGACAAGATTTTAAAACACAAAATATTTTTTTTTAAAAAGGACATCAGAACTGGGAGGGATTTTAGAATATAGAGCAGAGGATGTCAATCTGAGAGAGCTCTTGGAATAGAGTATCAGCATTG